AAACTAGAAAACTGAATGCTTGACCAATATTGTGTATTTGTGTTCCAGCAATTTCTGAAAATCCCATAGCAGTGAGAATCTTAATCACTGAATTTCTTCCTATGGCCACGCAACTTAATTATAATTTTTTTTTCAAAACAGGTTTGAAATGTTAATACAGTAACTAAACTTCTGTAAATATTTTGTACTGCCTGTACCTAATCCAATAACTCTTCTGACCAGCAACAAAGTTGAATTTGGCAAAATGGATAAAAGCACTATCTAGGCTATGCAAAATTGATCCCCTAATTGGATGGACTTCAAAATATATATTTTACATCTTGGCGTGTTTGGAAGAAAATTGGAGTGAGAGTAGTTTATAGCTCAAATCACTCTCGAGAATGACGTTTGGACAAACTACTTCAGTCTCATTGGAATTGCTCTAACTACTATATTCTCACAGCTCCTCCAAATGCACTGTTCCACTATTTCAACATAATGTTTTCCATAAATGAAGAGCAATGATATTTAGAATTTCACAATAAAAAAATAGAAATTGTTTCCAAGATAAAATGCAGTACTGACAATTTGATGTCTTGGTATGCTGGAATAGCAACTAGCAAGACATAGGCCACCATAAACCACCATAGACAGTCAAGCTATACAAACTTTCATGGCGCTGGAACAAAATTTTCCATTGTGTTTAGCCATGGCTGCCAATTAATAACACTGAGCATGTTGGTAATACATTGATCCATCGACCATCAGTTTTCCTTGAGCAAGTGTGAAGATTCACTTCTAGAATCATGTGTTGACATGAGGTATAACATGAACCAGGCACAATTGGATAGCAATCATGGAAGGGAGCCAAAGGACTGAAGGTTCTACTTTAATATTCATTTTTAAAAGATAGAACAAAATAACAGCTGAGGTTTTGATGACATATATAAATGAAACAAAGGGAGCTTTATTAGCAGAATACTTTAAACAGATAACCCATGAAGAGCATAAACTGCATAATAACATCTTTATAACAATATAAATTACCTCATTGTCACTGTAGCTCTTGGTCTGGATGACCAGAACACCACTATCAAACTTACGAAGCATCACAGGGCTGTCACAAATATAAAAAAGATTCTCAATTACATTAGATATTGTTAATTAAAAGGTAGACATATGCAGAGAAGATAAAATGCATTAAAAGAGATTAAAAATATGTATAGTCAATGAATTGCAAAACCTACACGTTGAACTTCTCCCATAGAGAACAAGCACGCATCAAGTCATCAGGGGATATTAGTTCTGCAAAATAAAATATGAAAAACAAGAGAAAAATTATAAAAACTAATTTAAACAAGAAAAGTTAAAAACTTACTTTAAAAAAGAACATGTTCTATAAAGAAGGTTAATACTAGCATTACTATAATTATAATTTACACCATGAAAATAATAATTTGGAGCATTGAAAACAACATTATACGTGTGCTTGAGTAAAACTCGAATAAAAAAGTGGTCTTTTTATGTGTCTGTGTGTAGACTCATTAGGGAAGGGTAGAATCAGGATTCAGGACACACCAAAATACAAAATCCAACATGCAAAAATCCCTGACTTAAAGGTTCTCCAAAATTTGTTATCGGAGGCTATCCAAGATCCCATGGCTCTCTCCAAAAACCTAGGTTCTTCATTCTTGTCATAAGATTGCTTCTCAAACAAAGTTGTTTCAACTCTTGTTAGCATAGTTACACAAAATCTTCCAGGTAATTCACTATCTATTCCATCTTTAGTCTGTTGTGATTGTCTATCTCTTGATCTGAGGGAAGGTTTATTTGTTGTTTGTGGTTAACCATGAAATGTCTGCTTGCAGTAACTCCAACCATCCTTCACCATCACTGCAAAATCATTTCGCTGGTGTATCTGTTCCACATGGTTTAAAATTTAATTTTTATTTTTACCATTCTAGTGGATCTATTGAGTTCCGTCCCTGGTGCACTTGGTCTCTTTGCTGGTGGATCAGTTGGTTTCCTTTGAAGGGTAAGGTCACTAGTGGATCTGTTGCGAATGGAACTATTCTTTTTTATTTCTAGTTTCCAAATATTTATTTTTTTGAAAATGAACCAAACAGAATTAGAAACTTTTCATATATAAGGCAAATAGCTCAAAAGAAAAATGGTTCCAAGAAGATAACTCATTTTCTAGAAGTGATTTTCCAGAAGCCATTTTCAAGGTTCCCGAACGGGCCCTAAAAGCTCAAAAGGTAATTAATATGGATAATGTGATTACATAGTACCACCATCGCACAATAGAAAACTACAGAAACAATACAACACACAAAGTGAAAGAAAAAAAATGCTTCATATCCATTTCCATGATGAATGAAACAATAATTATCCATTAATACGAGCTTGTCCCTCTGCATCTCACGACTTGTCTTTGTTGCCTCCTGGCTACCCATAGTGCATTTAATGCCATAATCATCATCCACTTCTTCATCACCATTTGGGAATACTTCAACTTCAATTTGTTCATTGTGTAATTCTTCGTCAATGAATGTGAATGCAGAAGAAGATGCACCTATGAGAAAAAGTTATCACATCATTCTGAGAGGCCATGGTGTTTGATCTACTTGCGGATGTCCCACACAGATTGCGACCCAGAAGATTGGCTTGGCCGATGCACCAATGGCTCCGTCAATATGTGACCATGAAAGATCACCCCCAAAATGAACAACATACACATTACTATCAATCTATTCATTCTCCCACCAAAAATCATGAGGCAGAAATGGTTCTAGTTACTCGGTTTCACTCTTTCTTCTCGCAGCATTTGAAACCTTTCCGCAATCCTCCAGATGTAATGGATATAAACAAAATCATTTAACCTTGATGCTCTAACCTATTTCTTTTCTTTATGTGAATCTAAGAAGGAAAGATTACTAGCATTAATTATGTACAGAAATATATATCAGTTTTGTGTATAAATTATTAAATTATAGGATACTAGTAATGAGTTGTTAGTAACTCACGAACTCAAAGGTGCTTCGATTCTGCTCACAACAGGATGAGGAACAATAAAGGACTATGATACTTCACAAACTTTTGGAGGTCTCGTGTGTAATGATACCAAGGTTTCTGTCATCACTATTCTTTTCACAATGTATCATGACCTTGAAGACGACACCAGATGCTTTATGTTTCTATGATCTAAATATCCTCTAATAATATATGGTCTAGGATGTTTTTACTGAGTCATCTCATATGTAAACAATAACAAACAACCATTAAATATTAAGAGAGAGAGAGAGAGAGAGAGAATCACAATAAAGTTCAAAAAACAAGATAAATAAATACTGGCTTACAATGAAGACTGCAGGAACAACAATTTGCTAAACTTTAAGAGCTTTGCCCTCTATCTGATGATAGATTTGCGGGTTGTTGCCCTAAATCTTAAATGTTTTTATTTCTTGAGAAAGAGTATAAATATGGGTCCGTCCAATTACCTTAGCTAAGGTACCTTTGTGGTGTAAGGCCTACATACACTCACCCTTTCTAGACCCACTCGGTTTGTAGTTGTTGATCTTGTTGGTTAAGGTGTGTGTTGGGTTCCGGTGAAGTGGTGAACAAGGTTCTTATGGGTTCACCTTGTTTGAGAGGCATCTTATGACAAAAAATCTAAGTTTTTGAAGAACCTCAATTCAATTCACATAACCTCCCAATCCAATTTTGGAGAACCATTGAATTGGGGGTTTCGATGATTCCAATTCTGCTTCTCCCATATCACTCCCACAATAAAGAGTCATAAACCTTACGGCTTATGGTGTGTGTGTGTGTAAGGGGGCCTATCAGCCCAAACAGGCCAAAAGCTTATCCGTGTTTAGCCCATATCTTTCTTGGGGTGGACAAGAGGAGTATATATGCATGACTGCATGTCCATACCAGCCCTTTCTATGGACACGCTCGACAGGCCAAACATGTCAACCCGCATTTCAACATGTCTCAGTATTAAATAAACCTGTTCCCCGGGCCCGGTTGAAAAGGCAATAAGCATCAATGAGATTAATCATTCCTCCTGCTCTGTCAAGGGGAATTCTGATAAAATCTGCCAACTAAAACACAACATGACAACAAACATGTAAATTATTGTAATGCTTTTTAGCAACCAATGAAATACTATTTTATTGATATATTTCATTTGTCCCACTATTTTCGGGACACGAGGGAGTGGCATAAAACCTATGAAAAAGAAAAGTTAAGTATGAGTGTGAGCCACACAAATGTTATTAAATATGGTATGCCACAAAAAAGTAGGACGGACAAACATAGGGGACCTAGAAAGAGAATACTAAAGTTAGGCCTTGTTTTTTTGGGTTGAAAATTCAGAATCGGATGTTGGAAGAAACTGAAGAACTTGGAAGAAACTGGAAGGAGTTGGAAAATGTTGGAATACTAAAGTGTTAAAAAATCACTCAATTAAATGATCACCCAAATAAATATTTAAGAAAACTCTAATTTTGGATAGAAAAGAATTCATTCCTGTTTGTGGTTGAGGTGGTATTTCATAAATTTGGATATATAATGTTATTGTATGTTCATCATATATAAATACCTTTTTTAAGTCGCTGTTGGAAGGAGTTGGAAGTAAATAGAAGGAACTGAAAGAAACTGGAAAGAGTTGGAAGTTAATTTTTCCAACCCAAAAGAAAAGGGCCTTGTTCCCAACCAGAGAATAATTTTCTTAACAATGATACCCAAACTCATGAATGGAGATTACAAATAACAACAATAACAATGACAACAATAAAGCCTTAATCCAAAGTAGCTTGGCGGTGAAACAGGAAAATTGACATATTTGCTCTTGCCATTAGCCAGTACTAAAGAACCAAAGATTTGGTCAAATTTTACTTCTCGCAAAGATAACCCATGTTACTCTTAGGTATTCAGCGAGACCCCATACATAAACCCCTCTCTTCTCGTAGCTTGAAGAGGAATCCTATACTCCCTAATCAATTACTCCGTAAAAAAATTGTTTAAATGTTTCTACAATGATTTAAAAAATTTGAGTAGCTCTAATACCCGTCAGTGTAGTTGTTCAAACTAATCTCAACATTTCAAGCACAGGAGTGGGGCTCAAACAATGGATGTGTAGAAGCTTGTGGTGCCTTCCTTGCCACTACACCAACATGGTTCCACTCAACAATGATATTTTATTAATGATTGTATGAATATAAATAACAGTCTTCCAAGAAACCTACCATATTCATACTGTGAAACATGGATCCTTATTCTGACAGTGGATTGTCACCCAAATTGGGAGGTAGGAGAGGTAGGAACCACTTCGGGGATAAAATGAAGCACTATAAGGTGGCCAAATGGATCGAGTGTCATATTACTATGTAGTATTATTTATTAAATACTCTGTTTTAAACTCTAGATCTGTAACAGTTATCTATAAAACATAAACACTACTCACAAGTTGAATTCCTCTGTAACAACAGACTTTATTTCAAGTTTCCAGAGTAGATATATCTTAATCATATGCACTAAAATTTCAAAATAACTGCATAATCAAGAAGCAAGAGGCGATACCTGTCGTGATAATTGTTGATGATACAAAGCACCTGCAGACTCTTTGGTAACTGGAGACGCAATACCAACACTTAGCAACCAATCTTGCATTTCTTCCTTCGTACCCATATCCTCATCATTTGATCCTGCATTATTGTTTGAGCTAGAGAGAAGTTTCATCCTCATCTTCTCAGCTAGAATTACCATCTCTTTAGCTTTACTCTGTAAAGCATCTTTTAATTGTGACTCGTAACAAATACTCATATCTAAGTATCCAGATAATCAGAACAATTTTACATTTAGATGTACTTTTAACATGACCATTAAAGAACCTCTTAGATAACTTTTCAGTTAGCGGATCGATCGACAATCAAGTATCATTCAGAGAATAATTCATAAAAAGTCAGATTATAGCCTGTTAATACTTGGGATTACACCTGAATGGAAGGATAGATGATGATCTGGGTTTGGTAATAAAAAGGTTTACTAGCATAATGCACATGCATAGTACAAATGCCTCCTACATGCTTGAACAAGGCACAAATGATAAAACACCTTGAGAAGAACTTTAGAACAAACAAAGGCGAGTATAAGCACTTCTAAGTTTCAAAAATAACATCAAATGGGTTATGCTAACTTATAAGTTATAACTTATAACTAATGGACTTTAAAAACAAAAGCACATTTCTTTTTAAATAGTTCATGCAAAGTTCTCAAACTAATCACATTCCTTCTCCCCAAATCAACGACGTTGTTACACTCCCGAAAATCACATTTCCTCTCCCCAAATCAACATCTTTGTGATTTACTTAACATTTTTGTAAGTTATTATTTGTAGTAGCTACTTGTAATTAAATTTTGGGATGTCATAAATAACCACTCTTACATTTTCCTCACATCCACAACTCCATAATAGCAAATCAGATGTTACTTACCATGAGGGCATTCAAATCCTGAAAAGCATCTTGCATGTTCTTATCAGTACTTTCCCAAATTTCCTGCTCTTTCCTCAGTATACCAGCTACACCAACCACGGGCATCTTCAGTGCCAGGCCCGAACCGGACCCTGAACCCGATGCACTCGGACCATCCGATCCCGATTTTGCATCTTCCACCCAACCTCTACCTCTCCACGCCTCCCAAAACTTCTCCAAAAATGATTCAACGTCCGATTTCCCCCGAACTATCAAATTTATTGCCATCGATTTCGATCCTCTCTCCTGGACTTGGCCTTGCGGGCCAGCTGAGGCCTGGAAACGGATTCTCGGACTAGCAAACATAGCCTTGATGGATTTTTTCAAAGGGAATATGTGTGTGACGGCGGAAAGGGGGATGAATACGGCGGAGCCAGCGGAGGAGGGAATGGTAGAGTCGGGGAGCCAGAGAAGGCGGTGGGTTGTGAGGATCAGAAGACCGGACCTGAGGTGGGGAAAGCCAGGGTTTTCTTCCGAGAGGAGGTCTACCGAAGACAGAGTGGAGCACTCAATTTCACCGGGGCGTAACACAGGTCGGCCACTCCCGGTGATTTCGGCCGGCGGTAGCCAATTGCCGGCCATAACGTCGCTGGCTTGCTTCGGTGGCCGGGAAAAATGAGGGAAAGGTTAACTTGTGGAATAGTCGGTAACGTCATAAAAAACGTAGGGGATCAAAATAGGTGGAACAAAGTTTTAGCGTTTTGGATAAAATTTTAATGGTGTAGATTAATTCTGAAAACGCTAACTCTAAAGGCTACCGTCGAATAGCCTTTTCAAAACGCTAACGCTAATAGCTAACGCTGATGCCAAACGGGGCCATAGTCTAATGATGGCCCACCCCTATCGCCCCCAACCAAAATTCAAGAATAATGCTAGAGAGTACTCCATTTATATACCCCGGAGTATCAAGCTAACACAGACATAAAATATCTATGCGGCACAGATCTTTTGTGTTTGTTTAGATATGTGTTAGCTTGGTGTACAGATGTGGTATCTCTATTAGTGTATCCTTAGGTTAATTCAAAATTCTTTCACATCAGAGAGTACTCCGATCCATTTATATATCAAGCTAACACAGACATAAAAAATCTATGCGGCACAGATCTTTTGTGTCTGTTTAGATATGTGTTAGCTTGGTATACAGATGGGGTACCTCTGTTAGTGTATCCCTAGGTTAATTCAAAATTCTTTCACATCTTTTCTATCGGTGGACATAGTTCAACTCGTTGAACCAAACGTGTCAATTAGGGTAATATTAGAATTCGATTCTTACCAATTACTATATTCGTTTCTAAATATTTATTCAGTTTTAACTTTTTTAGTCAACTACTTTTAATCTGAAACCTATAATTAAATAATATATATTTTATATTAATTATATAAAATAATACTTTAAAACTATTTGATATAATAAATCTAACAAAAATATTTTTCATAAATATCTAATATCATTTTTATTTAATTTGAAATCGAAGCTTACCAATTTTGACCAGAAAAAATAAAAAATGGACAAATACTCAGAGACGGAGGCAGTACAATATGAGGCAACTAAGGCAGCATTCCGTTCAACTTATTTTTCTGCTAATTACTTATTACGGAGTATTAATAAAATCAGATCGGATATATCAGATTAGATCGAATCAGATCAGACCAGATCTAAATAAAATTAATATTATTATTTTTATTATTATTATTACTATTACTATTTTTACCATTATTTTTAGCATTATTATTAGTACTAATATTACTATTAATATTATGATTATACTCCGTAATTATTATTACTATTGGATGTTATTACTATTAGTATTACTATTATTATTACTATATATATATATATATATATATATATATATATATATATATATGTGTGTGTGTGTGTGTGTGCATGTATATATATATATATATGTATATGTATGTTATGTATGTATGTATATGTATATATATATATATTTTGGTTCTGGTGAGAATGCAATCTTAGGAGAGAAATGAGAATGAATCTGGTGCTTTAAATTCTGAGATCTAAGGGTCAAGATTTCATTAAAATTAGATGCACCAAAATGGTGCGAAAATGCATCACGTTGAAATGCATCATAAACCTTCGAAAATGCACTATCTCAAAATCTGAGCGCAGGATGCAATCTGAGCCGCACGATGCATCAGATCCGACGGCTAGATTTTATTCTCATTTCTCTCCACAAGGTGCATTCTCACGGGAACCGGCCCATATATATATATATATATATATATATATATATATATATATATATATATATATATATATATATTTTGGTTCTGGTGAGAATGCAATCTTAGGAGAGAAATGAGAATGAATCTGGTGCTTTAGATTGTGTCATCTAAGGGTTAGGATTGCATCAAAATTAGGTGCAACAAAATGGTTTGAAAATGCATCACGTCGAAATGCATCATAATCCTTTGAAAATGCACTATCTCAAAATCTAAGCGCAGGATGCATTCTGAACCGCACGATGCATCAGATCCAACGGCTAGATTTCATTCTCATTTCTCTCCACNTATATATATATATATATATATATATATATATATATATATATATATATATATATTTTGGTTCTGGTGAGAATGCAATCTTAGGAGAGAAATGAGAATGAATCTGGTGCTTTAGATTGTGTCATCTAAGGGTTAGGATTGCATCAAAATTAGGTGCAACAAAATGGTTTGAAAATGCATCACGTCGAAATGCATCATAATCCTTTGAAAATGCACTATCTCAAAATCTAAGCGCAGGATGCATTCTGAACCGCACGATGCATCAGATCCAACGGCTAGATTTCATTCTCATTTCTCTCCACAAGGTGCATTCTCACAAGAACCGGCCCCTATTTATATGTTAGCAATGAAATGTATGTTAAAAACAACCTGAGAAGGAGGAAGAAAAGGACCTTGCGCACCGCCGTTGCTGTCCAACCTGGCACGGCACGCGTCTCGTGGGCATGCAGTCAACAGGCGCTTGGCCAGGGTAAGCTCTCTCTCTTTTTTTTGTGCATGCGTGCCGAAAAGGGCTAGCTGAAGGGTTCATTTCGGTTCGAAGATTGCTGCGAAGGGGACATATTAAAAGTAATGACATTTTAACCCAACTGTACATCTTTGGTTTGTTAATTACAAATAGCTACATCATTATCTGAATAATGCTTCACACCAGAACAAAAGGGTTCAGATCTAATAGACGTTATGTCTTATTCCCTCCGTTTTTTAAAACCCTTCCTCTTTAATTTTTTTGTTTTTCTCAAAACACTTCCCCTTTCTATTAAAAAACCACTTTTATCCCTACTTTTTCATACCCTACCCATCACATCATACTTTTTCACTAACAACTAAACTATCACATCTTACTTTTACCCATCACATTAATGGCAAAATTGGAAAGTCAACTACAATTTAACACTTTCTTATTTTCCTCCAAAGTCAAAAGAGGAACTCTTTTGAGAAACGGAGGTAGTACAATTCTTTTTGAGCATATCTCCACTACCCAAACTATTCGCAGAAACTATCAATTGAATCATCTAATCTATTAGTGCAATGGCATATTCAAATTTGATACCACTTTGTTACTAGGGGTGTGTATTCAATTAGGATTTTGATGGATTTTTTTGAATTTCAAAAGTTAACAGGTATTCAATTGAGATTTTAAAAAGTCATTTAAAAATTAGATGTATTCGATTCAGATTTTAAAAAATCTTTTTAAGGGAGGTGTATTCAATTAGGATTTTAAAAGATTCTGGTATATTATTTAAAATTCATGGATTCTGTAAAGTCAATAGATTGTTTTAAATCTATGTAGAATTAGATAGATTTTAATATATTTTGTCAGCAGGATTTTATAGGATTCTGATAGATTGTTTATAATTCATGGATTATTTATATATATTTGAACTATTTTAAAAATTCATACATTGTTCTAAGATTAATTATTACTTGTGAAATTGACCAAAAAATTTAAAAATAAAATAATACGGAGTAATAATATGAAAAATTATTTTTTAAAACATTATTGTTATTATTATAAATTTATTAGCATAAAATAATATAATGATCATTGTCATAAGTAATAAATTTGTTTTGTAACTCAAAACATTATTTTTCTCTAAACATTTTTTCATGTATGTCAAAAGCTTTGAATAAAAATCTAAAGACAATACAAAAAAAATTATCCAAAATCTAAAGAAGTATTTGTCAATATTTTAAAGTTTGCTTTGATTTTTAGAGGGTAACATGGAAATTATTATTACCCAAACCAAAAAGTTACATCAAGTTTTGGTGCCAACCACAACACCATTACAAACACTAACCACAAAACCTCAAAGCTACATCAACACAGACAGCAGGTACACCAAACATGAAACACAAATGAAAATCAAAAGTAGGCAACACACTACTACCACATGGCACGTAGGCCTCAACCAAAAGAAAAGTAAGCCATAGATTTCCCATCCTCATCTTCCTCGCATGTCCAAAGTGTACTGTCCAACCCTTCGCAACTTCTCCCAAAAGCTCTAGGCAATTTCATTCCTCCACAGCCCAAATTAAAGTAAGTCATCAACAGCCAAATTCAGCAGCTCCACCACCCATTGGGTACCAACCAAACAAGGCTCATCTCAGCCGCTGGTTACTTCCACAAACCAAGAACAACAGGAGAAAAATCACAAGTATTTCCAACCCACGAGTTGTCCAAAGCGAGATTCAAACCATGGGATCAAAAACAGCCCTAACCCACCAAATATTTATCAGATTCCAAAAGCACTCCATAAGAATCAGTCCAAAAGGCCTTGCCACTGTCCAAATCGCAGGGCATGACCTTAATTCCAGTAGCACTCTTAATTTCAGCCCTTTGAAGGCCAAAACAGCAGCTCCAGCAAGGGAGATCCAAACAGCAGCTCGAAGTAGTTGGGCAGATTTGAGATCCAAACAGCAGCTTTCCAAGGGATAATGTCCAGACAGTAATTTTCCAAGGGTATTAAACAAAAATATTGTACAAACTTCAAGAAATGGCAGCCAAGGTAACCTTGATTTTTAGAGGCATGTGTTGTGGAGATAAGTTATCAATCTTTTCCTGCAAAACTCTAACTTAAGCAATCATAATAGCCATTTTGAGATCCTAGAAAAAATAATCTTTTTGAAATATATATCATCACCCAAATAAAAGTGGAGCGAAAACAGCATATGCTCTCAGCCTCTTACCCTATCAAAGGGATGAAAGCCCACAAAAGCCAGAACCTAGTAAGTATGTCATCTCCTGTAGGAATTATTCATTCATATTTGATGTTTAAGTAAATCAAATATAATGATCTCTGTCTACATACCTAGCTCTTTCTTCAAACAAGTAATCTAACATAAAATTTTATTTTTTCTAATTATAAAAATATGATAAAAATCAAATTTCTTGATGTAAAATATTATATTGATAATATAGGGTAGATATGATGCGTGGAGTACTAGACTAGTGTAAATTTGGTATTTTGACCATAGATCTAAAATACTTTGAGATTATAACTTCATTATAACTTATTTGTCAAAAAAACTGACACAAATCTGCTCTGAATCATATGCCCAAACAATTCACATAACTTCATTAAAAATTTCTTGAAGATTGAGAAATCTTACCTTATTATCGGAGTGACAGAGTGAATGGATCGGAAAATACCAGGAGTGGAGGCCTGGATCGATCGGAGAAGATGAAGAACTTGTGTGAGAAGATGAAGAAGCTGCCGGGGCGCAGCCCCGACTAGTGTTGCATGCCCTCATCTAGGTGAATCCTGAACCACCACTGGAAACACCGAGAAAGGCAGGGGAGTGCCTAAAAGCCGTCCTTAATGTAATACCAGGCCACAGAACCTACCCTACCCGAGAACGTAGGCACAACTTAACCCTTCTCGCGAGATAAAGGGCTAAAAATAGTTAAATTACTCCTTCCTTTCCACCGAACATTACCCATTTGAATAATATATAGTCAAACAATTATACGCTTTGACTACAAATTGTGAGAAAGTATATTGAATTATAAAATAAATTTAATATAATTGAATTTATTATAGGATTTAGTATTAATTAATACAGAGTATATCAAATTTTTATAACATTTCTTTACTTACATTATATTTAGTTTATGGTCAAAGCGTGTAACTGTTTAACAAAAAAACATCAAAATGGGTAATGTTTTGTGGGACGAAGGGAGTATTAATAAAATAGACTTATTTATTAAACAAAAAGATAAATTAAATGATCGTTTCCTTTGTCCATACTTTACAAAGTAAAAATATGTACATACAGCGTAGCTTTCTTCCATTTGAGTATGGTGTTTGTGTGTGTTTGGGTGAATGTTACTCCCTCCGTCCTAAAACTTTCTTCCCAGTTTGACTTTTCCCCATTTTTAATTTTTGGTTTTGACTTCAAATTTTATCCTCCTTAAAAAAGATTTTTTGCAAATTTTTTTTACAATCATTCAAAAATATAGAGTTTGAAAATAATTGGTGTAAATACATGAGGGTATTAATGTCATTTGTTATCTTTTTTTTTCCTAATGGGAAGGTAGTTTTAGGATGGAGAAAAAAGGGAAATTGGAAGAAAGTTTTAGGACGGAGGGAGTATTAATTATAGTACTCGTACTACTTTAAATGAACTTAACTCTAATCTTACGTTCCCTTCCTCTCAGCTGCTTAGTCAACAATTTATATATGATACATCACGTACAAGTTACAACCAAATTCTTGGTAATATATACGGAGTATTACCTTTTATGTGCAACATGAAAGAAATATAGGCAGTATGTATATGATGCATCACGTCACAAGTCACAACCAAATTCTTGGTAATATATATTACCTTTTATGTGCAACATGAAAGAAATATAGACAGTATGATAATTAATGAACGAAATATCGGCTGTATGATAATTAATGAACGAAACACTCCAACCAAATTCGTTTTGATGTACCTATACCCGCAAATGGTTTTTAAGTTCTTCAAACTAAAGTATTTCCCTCAAAAGTTCTTTTTGTATCATATCCGTCTCATAGTTTTTTTTGTCATATTTTGACATTTTGCAATCAACTAATATAAGTTCGTCCTTTGCCCGGCCTATATATAAATGAATAAAAAAATGTGATATCTTAATTTGATAAACATATACCCAAAAAACATTTTACAAAATCTAATAAAATTATTCTTCAATCAATATCAAATATACATTTTATTTAATCAATTGTCAAAGTTTATCAACTTTGAATGTAAAAGGTTAAAATCAGACACACAATTCTAAAACGGAAATTTTGATCAAAAGTGGGGTATGTTTCTAATACATGCAAAAATCCCATTCTTTGTCACCGTTGTAGCTAGGAGACGAACCCGGATTTACCTCACATACGATACGTGCCCCTCGATCGCCTCATACGGAGAATATTGAACGGGAGAGTGATAAGAAATTTAAACCCTACCTTTTTCAAAAACAATGCATGGAATAACCTAAATATACACCGTCTTTATTTTTACCAGACTCATACCTGTGCGTTGCACGGACTAATTATAAATTATATAATTAGAAAATATATTGATGAAAGAAAATAATAAAATTAAATTATAATAATAACATATAATCAAATATTAAAGCATGTGGTGAATGAAATACATGTTTATCATGAAATCTCACTTTCTTCCTCTTGTCCAACCCGGAACAAAGTAGACATGGCTGGTGATAAAAATCAAACCACATGCTCCCAAATGATAACATAAAGCAAAGCTTTTACCAAGTCACACTAACGGGCTGTTTGGTAACTTCTGAATAGATAAATGCTGAACCAGTAAGAGGTCTGAACCATTAAGTGCTGAACCAGTAAGAGGTCTGAACCATTAAGAGCTAGTATATTGCTTAACTATTCAGAGGTAAATGTCTGATCAATTCAGATAAGAGGTCTTAACCATTCAGACTCTGTATAATACTTAACCATTCAGAGGCAAATCTCTTAACCATTCAGACATCTGGACCATTAAGAGGCTGAAACAAACAGTCTGAACCATTAAGTGCTGAACCATTCAGACATCTGAACCATTAAGAGGCTGAAACAAACAGCCCCTAACTCTCACGATGCACAATAATAATAATTTAAAAAACAAACATGTCCCCCACACTAAACATGTATATATTTAAATCACAATTCTCACCAATGTGATTTTTTTTTTTTTTGAGTTTCACATAAACCTTGATAACAAAGCAAATCAAGCAGTGCTAAAGGCAAAACTACAACATTCTGAGTTTCATAACACAAAAATAAACCACTTGTAAGATAACAATTGCATCTAAACGATAACACAAAAATAAACCACTTGCTTTGACATTGTTAAGCCTCCCTTCTCTGCTCCACTGATCCGACTAATCCAATGATATTTCTTAATGTTTGTTATCCTCCACTTCTATTTGCCTTTGTTAGCCAATATCATCTGCACCAAAATAATAAAGATTCAAAACTACCCCGGACATGCAAGATTCATAATAATAATACACAAACATGATAGTTTGCCATATAAACCATGGGAAGTGATATATGCACTCCACAATTTGATAGTGGCACTCCACTTTTTTAATTCTTTATAAATATTGACATTATTGCCCTCTAAAAATGCTTCTTCCTCATTCTACATGCATCCCTCACATTCCTCCCCAAACAATTTAAAAAATTTCGTACTCCGTAATTTTGAATATGAAAATAGTGTATGGGTTGAATATGAAAATCTAATTAATAAATAGCCATTTTTAAGTTATTTTTAATGGTAGACTAGATTTGTAATAGTATATTCAAGACAAATAAATTATTTATGTAATTTTCTCCATCCTTAATTTTTAAATTTAAAAAAGATGAACCCTATTAAGGATAAAAGTCCTCTCAGATCAAACTGGTGATTTATCTCAAAGGAGAAAAATGAAATTTTAATTTAGACTAAACATCATTTCTTAAATAAAGCTTAACACTTCTCTATCTAGAATTAGATTTATTCTTCTTAGGTCCGATCCTAAGGTCTACATATGAAATATAGACCTTCTCATACTTTTTATAAGACGTCAAATAAATCTTTTATTTTTTTGCAAAAACTCAATTCTTTTACAATATTAATGCACTAAAGTGAGAATGAACCTTAGATGAATTTGCCCTTAAATTAATGGTCTCCCATGCCACTTTTAAAATCTCATATCTAATTTTCAAATAAATTAGATTAAAAATAATTTTATTTAAACTTTGTAAACAAGTAAAACAACAACATGCAATTTTAATTGACATGGAGAGAAAATTATTTTAAGTGAAAAATTTTAAAAATATAAAAATTAGGCCACGTAAAGCATATGAAATAGTGGAGATGTTTTACTTCTAATAAAAAAGGGTAAAATAGTCTCTTTGTAAAAATTTAAAAAAAGTGGAGTGCAACTATCAAATTATGGAGTGCCAATATCAACTCCCATAAACCATATATTAAGTCCACTAATCTAAAAGATTCTTTACTTTCTAAACAAAATTTAAAATTAACAAAAAAAACATAAAACTTATTTCAAATAGATGAAACGAATTCAATTGTGTTTTACCATTATCTGGAGCATGAGACAAACACTATTATCCTTCCAAGTAAAAAATAATTCTGATTCCGCCAACCACCTACCTTCGTCTCTCTCCCTCTCTACGGCGGTGCTGATTGGAATTGGACGGAAGAAGCCCTCTTATTATTCGTTCTTATCCGAATATGCGGTCCAAATCATCAGCGGCTACGGTAGCTTATCAAATGGGCGGGAATACTGGTCATAAATGCATCCTAGCATTGTATATAGTAAGATGTGATTAAGAAAAATGAATTGGTGAAGAATATGTAACATAACTATAAAGTATATTTCTCCAATACTAAAGAACTTCAAAATGGTACCTGGCCTAAAATTTAAAACACTTCCACCCAAGAAGTAAGGAGCCATGTTAAGTTTACTAAAGATATATTAACAACAAATAAGTAAAAAATTATTGGGCATGAAGAATGTGGAATGCCAAACTAAAATCTTAGGCATCTATTATGGCCTGAGATTTGTCATAAAGTGAACTATATGGAACCTAAATCAAAACATAAGAGTACCAAAGAAGAGCACTAAAGCGGAGTAATACCATTCCAAGTAGCCATTTCCTTCTCGCTTATATGGAATATATTTATATGACCTGCATTAAAATAAAAACACTTTAAAAGTTTGAAATTTTATTTAAGAGCATAATAGCTTTAAGTCACCATAGTTGAACTTAATAGTGAGCTAAAAATTACCATAGAATAATGTGCAAAACCCTTCTTGCTACATAGGAAACAATCAAATATAAACAAATCATACTTTTTTACGCCACCATTCCTCTGTTGGAATTTTTAAGTTAATTGGACTTTTTCGGACATGAATTTGATAGGGTCCACAAAATTATTTTTTCCAAAATAATTATGGACGATTAATCTCGTAAGTAAGACGAACGTCTTGACATATTACACGCCATAAACGGTGCTCGGGCGAATGAGAAATTAATTCTCAAAGTTGAATACTAAGGTAGAGTAAATGCCTTTGTCCCACACCGGTTTCTAAACCTTTCGTATTCTCATATTTAAACTTAGACATTGAATTGAGCTTATGAAAGGAACAAGAAGAGAACTCCTCGCGCGCCCGCCGCCGCCGCCGTCCGTCCGGCTCGGCACGCGTGTCGGGGCGGGGCGTGGCGTGGCGCGCCCGCGTCTGCGGCGTGGCTAAATTTTTACGAGACCAAAACGAAACGCGCGTGTACACTTCGTTAATAACGAAGTAACGAAGTGTACGTTGTAATGAGCATGCATGCACTGGAGACCGAAGAGACAACCATCTCCTCGTAATCTCCGACGGTCCAGCAAAAAGCCAAGAACTCCCTCCTATAAAAGGAGGGCTCGGGTGCAGAGATTATACACTCACTCGAAAATCTCTCTCTGCGTTATAACTTTCCGACCATCTCCCAATTCCGATCACCTTCTCCGGCTATAACTCTCGTCATTCTCGTTCGCCGGTGCTCTTTTCTACCGCTCTAGACTTAGCACGTAGCGGTTTTATCCTGGGAGGAGATTGCCCATGTTAGCCAGTGCGGGAGGCGGGCAATACTACCTTAAGGAAAGCTTCGGCGACTCTGCTTTCCTTACCTACGGTTCAAGAAACATCTCCGGCGACCCTTTGTTCTCCGTCCGAAGTAAAGTCTGTTCGAGCTCCCGAAGACTCCTAGTTTTACTTTCTTTTATTTTGTTGTAAAATCCGAACGTTTTATAAGTTCGGATTATTTTATTTTTATTTTCCCGCTGTAATCTTTAACAATCTTAAGGTAGTATCGATGGAGTTCGGATTCGGCATCGTGGGTTCCTCCGGCAACGGAATAAGTTCCGAAATTCCGGTGGACACCTCTTCGGTTGCCATGCTTGTGCCGTCCTCACCACTACCCTTCGGGGCAAGTGTGGGGGCCGCGACCATGACGTCGTTTGCAATGCCGAGCTCGATCTTCGGGTCGACCCCTCGACCCATTCCCGGGCTCGAAACCACGGGGGATCACCCCGTCGGTAACTCGAACCCGTTTCTTGGACCGACTATGGCTTCGGCCTCGACGGTCAACCTTGGACCGAACACGGGTTTTCCCACACCGGTCAACGTAGGACCGAACGCAGGTTTCCCCACACCGGTCAATCCGTTCGTTGGACCCCATTGGGCGACTAACGGGCCTTTCCTCCACATGCCCAATGCGGTTGGGCCGATTACAGTGCCCGCTAGTTCGGTCCAAAGGCCACCGAAGTTCAATGGCACGAACTTCAAAATGTGGCAACAAAAGATGATGTTTTTCATGACCGTCTTGGGATTTGCTGAGTACCTGCAGCAAGATCCCCCCAGCCCAATGAAGCCAACGACCCCCTCGTGGCGATGGTGAACCAAGCATGGTACCACAACAACTATCTCGCCATCAACATCATCCTGGAGGGGTTGGGAGATTTGTTGTACCCTGTCTACGCCGGTGCAACACTTGCCAAGGAGCTTTGGAACAGCTTGAACAAAAAATATCAAGCTGAAGATGCCGGCACGAAGAAGTTCATCGTCGGGAAGATGTTGGACTACAAGATGGTCGACAGCAAATCTGTTGTCGCCCAGGCCGAGGAGCTAACGGTAATCTTCAACAAATGCAAGGAAGAAAAAGTAGGCGTTAGCGAGGCCTTCCAAGTGGCGGCCATCATCCACAAACTTCCCAGGTCGTGGGAAGACTTCCAAGCCGACCTCAAGCTCAAGAGAACGGAGCTGAATCTAGAGCAACTGCTCACGCGGTTGAAATTCCGAGAGGAAGGGCTTGCTAGAAGAAATGGAGGGGCTAAGGCGAATGTAGTAGAACATCCGTCGGGCTCTTCACATGGCGGGAAGGACAAAAAGAAGATGGGTCCTAAAGGTGGAGTTTCTAAATTTGTAGGAAAGTGCTACAATTGTGGCATTACCGGGCATCGTTCCTCCGATTGTAGGAAGAAGAAGCCACAAAAGAACAAGAAGAAAACCACCGAAGCTATGTGTGCAGAGCTCGATAACTTGGACCTCTGCGCGGTTGTCACCGAGGTGAATCTAGTCGGGTCAAACCCGAGGGAGTGGTTTGTGGACACAGGAGCCACACGCCATATTTGCTCAAATAGGAGCATGTTTCACGACTTCCAGGAGACCTCCGGTGATAAGGTCTGGATGGGCAACTCGGCCCAGTCATAGGTCCAAGGGGTGGGCAAGATTAAGCTCAAAATGACCTCAGGCAAAGAGTTAACACTTAACGACGTGCTCTATGTGCCAGATATTCGGAAGAATTTAGTGTCAGGGTCATTGCTGATCAAACACGGCTTTCGGATGGGTTTGAATCAGACAAGCTAATTTTGTCCAAGAAAGGGATTTTTATTGGGAAGGGTTACATTTCTGATGGGCTAGTTAAGCTCATTGTAATGACTGTGCATGAAAAGATCAATAAAAACCATGTTGCTTATGTGTGTGAGTCTTCTAGTTTATGACATGGTAGACTAGGACATGTTAATTATGCATCTCTCCGGAAATTAATTAACATGTAACACATACCTAAGTTTAGTATTGACTTAACCCACAAATGTGAAACTTGTGTCGAGGCTAAGTCAACTCGAAGTTCGTTTCAAACAATCGAACGGAACACTCAACCTCTAGAGTTGGTTCACACCGACTTGTGTGATTTTCGAACAACGCCTTCAAGAGGAGGTAATAAGTACTTTATTACCTTCGTCGATGATAGCACGAAATATTGCTATATCTATTTACTAAAAAGTAAAGATGAAGCGTTAGACACTTTCGTTCGTTATAAGAACGAAGTGGAAAATCAACTCAATCGCAAGATAAAAGCATTGAGAAGCGATAGAGGTGGTGAGTATGATGCTCCACTTAATGAGTTTTGTGCACAACATGGAATTGTGCATCAAGTAACCCCACCGTATACACCACAGTCTAACGGAGTAGCGGAGCGCAAGAATCACACTCTAAAAGACATGATGAATGCAATGCTACTTAGTTCTGGATTACCTCAGAACATGTGGGAGGGCTGTTTTATCAAGTAATTATTTACTAAATAAAATACCTCGCAAGAAACTTGACAAAACTCCGTATGAACTTTGGCATAATAGGAAACCTTCCTATAAGTATCTCAAAGTGTGGGGGTGTCTCGGGAAAGTACTTGCACCACCACCGAAGAAGATGAAGATCGGTCCAAAAAGAGTTGATGGAATCTTCATCGGGTACAGTAGTACGTCATACCGGTTCTTGGTGTATAAATCAGATAATCCTGAAATTCACAATTCGATATGAAAGATTTGGGTCTGGCTGATGTGATTCTTGGAATCAAAATACTAAGAAGACCGGATGGTCTGAGCTTGAGCCAATCCCACTACATTGACAAGATCCTTGAGAAATTCAACAAGGATGATAAAAAGATAGCTAAGACGCCGATAGACGTAAATGTTCACCTTGGTAAGCATCGAGGGAGTAGCGATTCTCAGACAGAATACGCTAGAGTCATCGGAAGTTTGATGTATCTAATGAGCTGTACACGGCCAGACTTAGCTTGCGCCATTAGCAAACTAAGTAGGTATACGAGCAATCCGAGTGCTGAGCACTGGAAGGCCATAGTCCGAGTAATGAGATACCTTCGGTATACTCGAGATTATAGCCTATGCTACGGCAGGTATCCACCCGTACTAGAAGGATACACTGATGCTAATTGGATTGCGGATAATAAGGATTCAAAATCCAGAAGTGGATTTATTTTTATGCTAGCCGGTGCAGCTGTTTCCTGGAAATCCTCAAAACAGACATTAATTGCGAGATCCACCATGGAGTCTGAGTTCATAGCACTAGACAAGTGTGCAGAACATGCCGAATGGCTTCGGAATTTACTTGAGGATATTCCAAACTGGGAAAAACCAGTTCCTCCCATTTGCATTTATTGTGACTGTCAGTCAGCAATAGGAAGAGCTCAGAACAAATTATATAATGGTAAGTCTAGGCACATTCGCCGTAGACACAAAACCATTAGGCAACTTCTCAATACGAGTATTATCTCGATTGACTATGTCAAGCCGAAGGATAATTTAGCGGATCCATTAACCAAAGGGTTAACCAATGAGCAACATGAGAAGTTAGTGGTTATTTTTCTCATTTTCATTATTTTTTATATCTATTTTTTTCTAAGCTAAGAATAATCTTTAAAAAAGAAAAAGAAATGGAGGTTGAAAGTAATTCAAAAAATTTAAATAAAAATTTCAAAAAAAATTAAAAAACAAAAATTCATCAAAAATAATCCCAACTTTCATTTTGTTGCCTAAAACGGGCATTTCCGTTAACTCTCCGTTAGAAATTTAACGGCGACCCAAAACTGGCAAATTTCAGTAAAGTTGGGATTATTATGCATCACAGTGAAAGGTGGGATTATTTTTGAAAGACCGGGTAAAGTTAGGATTATTTTGGGTAATTTTTCCTAACATAAAAGGATAATGAAGAAATTAATTCTATTCAATGAAAATGACATTACCCCCTCCTTAGGTGATAGGATATGAAATATGTGGCGGATGAGGAGACGCAATCGCATGCGTTTCTCGCTAAGAAAATTGAAATGCTATTCCGACTGCAAATGTGTTTGGACCACATTTTCTTTAAAAAGTAAAAAAATCAAAGTAGCACATGAAACTCATTGTCTCAAATAAATTGATCAGAAAGCATTTTACCTTCAATTGCTATTTGGTTCTTCAAAAAGCATGTTAAAAAGCAAATTCAAAATCCCAGTCAAAAATTCAGCATTCAAACATCTGTCAAAGTATCAATAGCCTATCCCACCTACTATATAATTGTAAATTAACAACGATATGATTATGCTCTCTATAAAAAAGATGGGATACAGTGCAGCTTATTTAAAAGTTCAATAAATTTAAAGGAATCCCTCTAAAATATAAACACAAAACTAAAAGGTCAAAACTGGGTTGACTTTCAAGAAATCTTGATTGAATTGAAAAACCCAACACCAGATTCTAAAAGAGCATAGCCAATAGCCCACAATCCATCAAAAAATTCAACCAAAACGAACCAAAAAAGAGGTCGATTCGAACCTGGAGTATCTCGAGTGAACAGTAAACATGAGGCTGAATTCCTTCAATTTCAGCTCAATCTAGCAACAATCTACCAGCGAAGAGCTCGAATATTGGAAGGCCTAGTGAAAATGATTCCATAGCACCAAGAAACAACCAAAGATTAACCACAATCTATTTTTTTTATTTTTGTACGAAGTAATAAAAAGAGAAACAGTGAAACACTGAAGAAGAAGCTTACTGGTCTATGGCGATCGATGAGCAGCGGCTGACATTAGAGGTCGAAGAGCAGAATTTTTTGACAAAACCCTATAAAAAAAGGCAGTAGCAACCTCTGGAGTAGAGTTTAACTCGGCGGTTTTGAGAAGTGTATCGTAGAAAGGAAGCCTGAGCAGCTTACCCGAGAAGTTTGTGCACGCGTCTCTGAAAAGGCAAAAGGAAAGATTTATTAAATCTTCTTAATAAATGCATACTGGACTTAGGGAGATGTGTTTGATTTGATGGCGTGCGGCTCTATGTACAAATAGCCTGCCAATGGGTTAAACTATGGAAGAGGTACACTTTAATAGCCTGCCATTAATAGACCTCATAGGCCCATTCCCATCACACCCAGCCCAATTAGCAATGACCCAGCCCAAAAAATTGGGCGGGAACACTGTTCAAAACACCATCCAAGCATTATATATAGTAAGATTAATATTCTATCATGGTGTTAATTTGATGGCTAAAAATGTAATTTCACAATGATCATTTATCTTTCTTGTCACACACAATGCGAGAGATCGTTCCTGATGCGTCGTTTATATATGAATCGCATTCGTTGTATACTACAACCACTATCTTCAGATGCATGTGGTCTTTCGTCAAAATCCTATCCTACAATCATATTCATTATTGTTGTGGTGTCTGTGTTACAGACACTAGAATACGTCACTGGACATGGTTGACGTTATACAGCAACATTTTTAGCTCTCTAATTAACACCAACACGCGAGGATTAATTAAGATTAAATAAAAGGACTATTCATGGAAATAAAGGTAGCCATAAAAGAAGAACCTCGAACATAATATCTGATAATAGAGTATTAAAAATAGAAAATCGTCTATTGTAAAAGATCAATTAAAGAATTTACTTTTTAAAAAATACAAGACTTCCTACATCAAAAAATTATCTTCCCGTTCACTATTCACAAGGTCAAACTTTATTCACCTTGTTGGTCTATTTAATTTCCTTACTTATTTGACAAAATAATATAATAATGTCACGTCTAGTTTTGATGATCTTTTGATATAGTTTTTTAATATGTAATTTTTAGTCTATAATTTTACATCATGTTTCATATAAAGCGGTTTGAAAAGAACTTCAGTTAAATATCGCAATGCGTATTGGAGAATATTGTGTTTTATGGAGAATATTTTGTATTAATTGTAAATTCGTTATTTTAGGTAGGTGCCTTGTATAGTTATTTGCCATACTTAGTATTGTAAACCCGATTGTATAAATACGGAGTGAAAAAAGAAATAAAAAATGAAAGGTGGAACAAAGACCAGATGGAGCCGGATTGGAAAGATCACCGTGAAGACGGCATAGAGACCAACCAGCAAGAAGTTTAATAAACAAAAAAGAAATAAAAAATGAAAGAATAAAAACAAATATAAATGGAATCTTACCACTGCCGGCGGATCGGAGATATATCACGGTGAAGACGGCAGCATTAGACTTCTGTGAAATTTAATAAACAAAAAAGAAATAAAAAATGAAAGGTGAAAGAAAAACAAAAAGAAATGGAACTTTACCTCCGCCGGATCTGAGATAGGTTTCCGCGAAGACGCATTGGACTTCTCAGAAGTTTAATAAACAAAAAAGAAATAAAAAATGAAAAAAAATAAATAGAAATGGAACCTTACCACTGCCGGCGGATCGGAAATAGATCACGGTGAAGACGGCGGCATTAGACTTCTCAGAAGTTTAATAAAAAAAAGAAATAAAAAATGAAAGGTGAAACAAAGACCAGATGGAGCCGGATCAGAAAGGTCACCGTGAAGACGGCGTAGAGACCAACCAGCTAGAAGTTTAATAAACAAAAAGAAATAAAAATACCAGAAGGAGCCCGATCGGATAGGTCACCGTGAAGACGGCGTAGAGACCAACCAGCAAGAAGTTTAATAAACAAAAAAGAAATAAAAATACTAGATGAAGCCTGATTGAGATAGGTCGCCGTGAAGACGGCGGAGAGACGAACCAGCTCGAAGTTAAATAAACAAAAAGAAATAAAAAGTAAATGTGAGAGATTACCCTGGTTAGCTTCTACGGACAAGAGAGAGGGGTTGCAAAGGGAGTGGGTGGATGGAGGGTTATATCTATATATATAAAATGAAATTGGATAAACAAACTAGCTAGACTGCTAGACACACAAAAGAGAGATCAAAGTTATTACAAATACAATCAAACAAAGCAAAAAAGAAGCAAAATTCGTGCATTTAATAAGAACTACCGTATTTCAATATATTTTTAGGTCAACAAGGCCTGAGTGCAAAAAGAGAGGATTGCTATAAAGTGGAAAGTTCTTGCGGGTGGGTTAGGGGAGTGTTTGTTTTCTTCAACCTTGATGGGTATCCTGTTTTAATTTGTTCAAGCACAAAAAACAATCATACTCACCTCCCTCCCCAAAAATTATGTTCTCGTTGCACATAACGATATTTAAAATTATTTTCTCGTTGCGCATTGTGATACTCCCTCCGTCCTAAAACTTTCTTCCCAGAGCACTATTCTAACTTCACGGAAATTTATATTTATTTGCATTAGCAAGTCCCAACATCTAGGGCAATTAGGCCACAAGGATTTAGCGAACTTCCGGCTACCATATTCCTTGTGGCAGCATGTTTAGCATGTCCATAGAGTTCGCATAGGCCTATCTTCCGCATATCTATACAAATAAATAAATAAAAATTTGAGAAATTTACGTAAATAACCTCAAAACATAATACTTTTCCTAAATAGCACTACGTGTATTTTTTTCGATATATCCATTAGTCATTATTCAAGTAAATGTTTGCCATCACAAGTCATTATAGACATTATTAAGTACTATTTAAGGAATAAAACTATTTAAGTGCTATTTAGAGAAATGACTTAAGTTTTAGTGCGGTTTAGTGTAAATATTTCTAAAAATTTATGGAGCAGGAAAAAATACTGCACGTGGGACCCGTCCCGGACATCCAATGGGCCTGAGCGAAAAATAAAGTGTGGGCCTTTAATTCATTAATCCATTTTTTTTAACGCTTTTTAGATTTCACGATGAAATTCAATTACGGGGTTCATGTATTTTGACTTTTTTAGTTGAAATGATCACATTTTAAACATTAAATTAATAAAAACAATATTATGTATACATTTTAAGTGATTTTATTAAATTTATCTTGTAAAAAAAATTACATAGTTTTATTTTATTGTATTAGCATACAATACAAAATAAGAATAACTGATCATTGAAATTTACAGTTGCTATTATTACTCAAAAAATTAAACTTAAACTATACAAAAAAGGAATGTAAGATTTCTCTACAATTCTTGTTTATATTATCACAATTTTCAAACATCCATCAA